TATTATATGATAAAAATGCACGAATATATATTATATTCGCTAATTTTTTTGATTCATATTTACTCTATTATTGTGCTATTACTAGAATATTATAGTAAAAATCTTATTTCAAGTTGTTATTATTTTTTTTGTTTTATATAATGATAAATACTTCGTTATTTTTACTGATTATTAATTATAATAAATTTATCATTATTTTTGTATACTTTTCTTTTTAATACTTATATATTTATCATTGCTATTGTTTTGGGTTTCAAAAATTTTAATTCACATATATTATGAGTAAGAAAATATATAATTTATATAAAGGTATGTTTATTTATTTATAATAATATTTTTAATTAATATAACTGTTAGTATAACAGTTATTTATTCTATACATAATGTAAAACATTATATTTTTCAAATTATATTAAATTAATTAATATCATTAAAGATATTTATAATATATGGCATATGAATATATAAATAATTTGTGTTTAATAATTCAATGTTTTACATATGATATGTGCATTAAATTATAACTTAATGTTTAATTTAGAATTGTTGATGAGACATAAATTATATGAATTACTTTTTTTTTATGTATAAGTTCTAGTGTTTACGGTGTAGATATTTATGTATATATATATAGAACACATGGTTGATAAATACATAATTCCTTATATTTATAATTTATATGAAAGTCCTAATATAGATTGTCCTTAAATATTTAATAATATACATCTAATATATTATTTGTAAATAAAGGGTAATAATTCAGTTTTTGTATTATCTGTCGCATTATAACTTGTGTGAAAACAATATAATATTGTTTTTTATATATCAATTATTTTTATTGTTAGTCATAATTATTAATATTTTTGTTTAATTACATTTTGTTATAAATAATGTAACATTGTAACAATATTAATATGATTATAATTACTATACTGCACATTTACACCTATTGAATATATTTATGGATGAGGAATATGTTGAGCTATATTTTAAAAGTTTTTCAGTTAACAAAAATTGAATTTTTTGTAAATTAGAAAAAATAACACACGATAAATATTATAAGTATATTAATTCCTTGTATAATATACATAAACATTGTAGTTATTCATATTATGTGTGTTTTGAGGAGAGTAAATTCTATAATTAAATATAAAATTATATGACATAAATCAAGATAGCCTTTTATATACGTCAAATGTGGACGAAATATGGAGTTATAAGTATATGCAAATGTTATTAAGTTAAATAACCACCATAATTCCAATATATCTCAGCGTTCTCAAAAATTTGGCAATAGGAAATCTTTTATCATTATATATCATTGAATATTTATTAGAGGATTAGACAATTCTATGTGTTAAAAAAGTATTAATTTAATCGTATTGAATATGTTAAACTGAAAATCATGATGTATATATATTATGTATTTTATGTAATGAAATATAATAATATAATTATAACATTTTAGTGAGATTATAATTATTGTTATAAAAATATATTGGTATTATATGGTCTTTTACATAATATTTTGTGTAACCTTTATATTGAATAGTATTAAAATGTTAGTTTTATTATTTCCAGAATTATTTAAATATATAGAGTAATGAATTGTATTTACACACGCTTATACTACTCAAATAAAATGATTTATATAACATTTACGAATAATTATAAGGATTTATAATCCATGTCATTTTACGTTTACCTTTATGTAGGAGCATATTCCTAGTATATAAACATTAAAATTCATCGATTTTTTCTATTTATTTTTTTGGTATAAAATATTTGGACATATTATGTATAATGTTGAAAACTAATCAATTGAGTTATTTTTAGCGTATTTATTTCAAACTCATGCTTTCGTCAGATATAATAATCACATATTGATTGTCACTGTGATAATTTTCGTAAATTATTAATGAATTAAATATAATTATAAATATTTTCAAACAAGTTTTTGTTACTATTATTTATCATAAAAAATTTATATATATTAAATTTATTTCATTTTTAATAATAAATATATACATTATAGGTGAATATAACAAAATTTATATTTCAACATACTTAAAGTAAAAAGAATTAGTATATTTTTTCACTTTTTTTTAATATATTAACATATATATGTTCTTGTAGTTATTTCTTAATGTATATGTGTAAAATTCCCTTTAATCATATTATATTATTTAAAAGAATTCAAATTGAATAACTTTTACTTTTTTTCTGTTAAATGTTTAGATTTTTCATTTTGATCTATATGCTATTTCATATTGTTTATTATTTAATGCACATTTTAAATTTTCATATGAACAAATTAAGTTAATATTTCTTTTATTTATTCTTTTCCTTATCTTCCTTATCCACTTTGCTTTGGACTGTAAATATGATCCAAAATGAGTGTACTAAAAATAAAGTGACATTATAATATTCTCATCAATATATTATATATTTGATAAAAATGTTTCATCATCATATGTAATATAAATTGTAAAATAATATATATTAAAAAAAATGTAATTTATTATGGACCTTATACGAGATGAACATATTTATCAATACTGCAAAAAAGGAAAAGTTAGCTCCTGTATTTATTTGTTTACGAGTATGTGTATCTGTTATTGCATCCAATTTTGCAACAGTATACATTTTTCCTTTTATCTGGAATGAGATAAGGTATTAATGCACTGGCACCAGCTATATTAGGTTTTAATTCCGTTAGATATGTTGAAAAAATGTCTTTAAAATATTTAAGCACTTCTTTAAAACTGCCATTATAATTTTTTTGACAACTTTCTAAATGTTTCATCCCATCCCTAAATTTTTCATATTTAGAATAGACCGGATGTTCGTATATTTTGAATTCATATAATTTATCATATGTTTCATCTATCTTTTTAAATATTTGAAATATACCTTCATCAAGATCATCCGGATAATTATCACTGCAAAGTTTGATTAAACTAGAAATATGTAATATGGGCAGTGGCTTCGCTTAGACTCCTCATTTTATCATAACATTCTTTAGTGTCTCCACATACGCATTGATATTTTTTCATTAGACCCCAGAGCTTGTAAAAGAAAAATTTACAACATGCTTTTACGTAAATATGTTCATTTGTTTTTATATGTTTTAAATAATAAGTAACAAGTTGGCAATAATTACAAAATGGAAAAGAACTCGCATCGTTACTAAAACTTGGAAAAAAATCACTACATAGATGTGTTAATTTGTTAGTTGCATTTTCCTTAGGAATAAAATTTGTCTACTGGAAATCTTCTATACAATGGGAATATGTATCACTAAAATCAAACTAAAAATAATAGTAATGAATTGAGAAATATAAAATAATGATCTTAAATAGAAACAATCCCTTGTTTTACACAAATAAGCTACGCTAAAATTAAATAATATAATTTATGTTTATAACAACATTTAGAAACATACATTTTGTATCGTTCTTATGGGGTTACCCATTATATAAATAATTATGAATCACTTCATAAATATAAATTGTTCTTTTTATGTTTTTAAATAACAACATGTCAAAATATATTATACATTTCTAAGACAAATTGAGGCATTTATAATATATAAAAATTATAATATTTTTATAATTTTTTGTTTATTCTTTTTATTTATTAAACCACTGTATTAATGCACAACAAGAACTAGTATTTTCTTGTATAATTGCATATAAGAAAAATTTGCAATATAATATTATAAATTAATGGAAATATAATGTAATAAAAAATATACTTATCTTATAATTATATGTAAAAAGAACATCAATACATTTACACCCTCAATGCTAAATTAAATGGAAAATATATTTATATAAAAAATGATTATTTTACATTATTTTTTAACATTTCTTTATTTTCCATTAAAA